GCGTTACTCCTAACTGGTCTCTGTCAAACTCAGGTAAGAATCAGATGCTTTATCTTTTAATTTCAATGGTTTATTTTGTTTCTTGGTTGTTTTTTTTATTTTTATTTTCCCCAAGAAGCTAATGTGAACTTGAAATGTAAAGTGATTTTATTTTGAGGAGCACAAAGTAAATAGGTATTATTTTAAGGATAATGTTCTGAATTAGACAAATAGCGTTTATAAACTGAAGTTTTTTGCAAGAAAACATGCTTCATTGGATGACATTTGCTAAAAACACTTGCATTTGTCATGTCTTGATGCCTCCACAGCTTATTTATGACTCTCTTAATGCTGTCTGTTCTGGTGGTGAAGCTCCCATCTAAGTAGTAATATAAATCAGCAGGATGCCAAAAGTTAACCACACTGCAACATTTTAATGTTTCTGGGTAAGAGAGACTCATGAACACAAACCACTGAAAAATGAATACTAAAACAGCATCCAGTCATGCCAAATGGCTCTGACCTTCTTTCCCCTTAGAGCTTCATCATGGCCAGGGGTTTGGTTAGCAGTGGGGTCCTGTGTCTGCTGCAGAAAAGGAGGGCAGTACCCATGGTGCAGTGAATTGCACTTCATGTGAGTCAGGATCAAACCAATGGACCCAGCTCCTTGTACTACTGGGGGTGATGGCTAGAGTCCCATCCTTTGCATCACAGCAGAAATACCTGTGAAACACATTTAGAAACTGGCCCACGTTCTCCTGGACCTCAAGTGAAGCTATGGCACTGAAACTTTGTGGCCCCTGAAGAACCCAATCTCGATTCTTAGCCCATGGGCATATAGATCAAAAGTGACTTTTGTGAACTCTATATGTTGATATATAAGAGTAAGTGAGATTTACTACTCTCGTCCTCTACTGTTGTTGCATGAGTATTTTGATTCAGTTTCAAATACACAACAATACTTCAGTGTTACCTGTAACCTTTTCTGTATTTTCAAAGAAAAATCTTCAAATTCTGGAAGACCAGTGGCAGATAATTTGGGGGCAATATAGAGACAAAACTCTGAATCAGTGAAAAAGAACATTCTAAAACATGTTCAAATATGGTTTGCAGATCAGTGCAGGGACTGCACTGTGGTGATTCTTTCATTCACCCAACACATAGGTGCATTCAAGGTTTCAGAATAGATTTAGTTCTAGCTTCTGGTGTTTTCTTTAGTCCTAAATGTTTATGAAATAAAAAACCAAGATATAAATTATAAATAAATAAAAATAATAATATTATTATGCAAATAATAATATATAATATGATATAATAATATATATAATAATAATATTATTATGCAAATAATTCCTGAAAGTCCTTTCCTTCTCAAAAAAGTCATTAGATAAGACTATACCATGAAAATAAACAAGCTTTCTGTGGTATTTTTCTAAAATGTGAACAAACCCCTCTATTATTCCTCCCAGCTGGAACACAGAGGGTGAATCTTTATAAAAGGCATGTTTTCTGCCTAGAGATACATAAAGCTAAGCAATATCTTGCAGAGATTTTAATTTAATCTTTCATGTAGCCAGGGAGTTTTAAGCCCTAGTGCTTTTAATTTATGTTACCTCATAAATTAATAATGTAGGTATGATGGAGGATAGCTCATCAGATTAAATGTGTCATTTTATAAAGCAGTTTGGAAGCAAAAAGTATGAAGTACTCTTAAATGATGCATTAGGTGCACAAATCATTACATCTGTTCTTTCTGGACTGGACAATGGTTGAGATGAATAATAATTTAGTTACAGTAATTTTATTTTAAGCTAGTGAGCACTTGCACAAGAAGTAGGAGAGTGATGCTGGCATGCTCTTACGTGGCTTTCCAGAGCTCTCTGTATCACTTCATCCAGGCAGTCCTGCACCATGACATCCTTGGTGGCAAGCATGGGAGAAGTTCCCCCTGAGCAGTCTACACTTGGGCACAACCCTGGCAGCATTTGATGGAGCTGATCAGGGAGTACAGAGCAGCTGGAAGTGAATGTATGAGTTCTGGTTTGCTGTGAAGAGTGACTCTCTCCCCATGGTGTGGACATGCTGATAGTCTACTTCAGCTGAAACAGCAAGTTCCTTACCATGCAATATGGTTCAATCATAAGTCCTTAATACTTCACATTGTGGCCTAATACTCAAAATCTGATAGAAACTGAATAAACCTGCTCTAATATTCAATGTGTCACTATAAAATTTTGGTAGCAAATTTACTACTATTATACATGCTATAAAAAGGGAAAAAAACCCTGGTTTTCTGTCATAAACCAGCCAAAACTGGTTTATGTCCATGAAGGTATGTTCTTCTTGTGAGACTACAAAACATAAAAATTCCGGTATTTACAGCATAGCACACATACTGGTACAATGCAACGGGAATAAAAAAATTGTAATAAACCATATAATCTGTGCAGGAGGGACTGTACCTGTATTCCCTTTTGTGTATTTTTCCTGGTGGTTGCTGTTTTTACATGCCCTCTGACTGCATCTGGAGGTACCCAAAGCACACGTGCTGGCTCCGGAGCCCTCAGGAAGGGGCAGTGTGAAAGCACTGCCTGTGCCAGGGAGAGGGGAGGCTCAGCAGCCCAGTCCTGCTGAGGTGGATGGGCAGGTGTCCTGGGGGAGCTTTGCTGCCAAAAACATTAGGTACCTGTGGATTTTAGCAGGCTGTGTAGGCAAGATCTGAGAACCCCTTCCTTTTCTACTTCACTGCTAAGGTGACTTAGACATCATATTTCCACCTTTTCCCACTATTGCCTTTTAATTTATCTTGTTCCAAATTCCTGCCAGAGAGCTCAGATAAGATGTAAAATATAGATGAAAGTGACGGATAAAAGAAGTAGAAAGTGACTATGCCAGTTTCTTTACAGTTCTAGGCCAGAATTATCTTATTTTAACTACCCAGAAGTCTTTGAAACATCTCCCTAACATGTCCAACCATGCAAGCTTTCCTGAGGATGGTGATGCCTCATATAGAGCTGCAAAGTCCCTGTGTATCTCTTTCTCTATATATCTGCACACATATGTAACATGGAAAAAAAAAGGAATAATTAGGAGGGGAGGCTGGACTGTAATGCTTGGGTTTACTGACGTATACACATGTGACATCTCAGCTGTAGTAGAGCAAGCAGGTGAACAGTAGATAATTTCACAGTAACTCTTGGTGCAGCACCACCAAAAGGCCTCAGAGGAGACAGGTGACATGCAGAAACAGACACTTTGTAAACACATGGCAAGGGCGTGTCCTCCCTCCTCCCTGAAGGACTGGCTCCTCCAAAAGAATAGGAAGTACAAGGAAATCAGAGGTCTGCAGTGACTTGCTCCAAACCACAGAACAAATCTGCAGGGAAGCTGGGAGGCACACATCTTCCCTGACACCCAGAAAAACCTCCCTAAGTTAACTCTATTCACTCTGCTTGTCAGACACACGAAGACGCACTCTTTATGAAGCCTGGGCAAGCCTACTGCTAATGATGTCCCCTTGCATCCCAAACAGGCTGCAGGGCTTGCACCTGCTCTTCAATTCAGCCCTCATTTAATTAATGAAAGACATGAAACTACCAACTGTATCAATCTACTGCAGCAATGTGTACAGTGCTCCGGGTTTGTAACCCCAGGGATCTGGCAAACCACAACGGCTCACCCCAGAATGCAGCAGTACTTAAAACATTATCTGAGAGCAGCTGGGAAGAAAAGTACTTAAAACCAAAGAAACAAAAAGGTATTTGCTTTTAGGCTGGCATTTGTTGCTGGTTTTAGATTAAGCTGTAGCTTTCTGTAACCTCCATACTCCTCTTATTTCTGTATTTGCTGTGAACAAATACAACCTGAAGACTGAAGCTCAGGAAACATGGCACTTATGAAAATGCCTTTAGAACTTCTAGATCCTGCTCTAGAACCTGCAGTGAATGGTCATATCCATTATCTGCAGCCCCCACACTATTTAAAAGATGAAGAAGCTGTAATGATGGCTAATCAGTAACATTTCTTAGCCCTAATCATCTGAGGTAGAGCATTTCCTGAGTAACCTGGTTTCTTACTAGATTTTTACTTACTACAAGATTTTTCTTGTAGTAAGTTTCCACCTTGCTGCTGTGCAGCTGGGAGCTGAGAAATGTGTACTTCTTACTGTTTACTTTTCTGAGCTACTTCATTAAATGTCTATGAGCCCCACTGTGTAACAGAAGGGGAAAAGGTTGTTCACATCCTTCCACATATCAGGGAAGCTCTCTGACATGGGACATCTTGATGGCTGAGTCATCCCATCTGTCCCAGACACCTCTCAGGCCAAAATGAGCAGAGCAGAGCTGAGGGAGTGCTCAGTGAGAGGCAGTCTTCAAGCAGGCAGAGCATCCTCAGCCTCTCCCGGAGGACGAGCACTCAGGGCTTTCCATGAGCGGCTCAGCTTTGCGGGTTTGGCTTGCTCTGAAGACAAGGTGTGCTGAAGACAAAGTGCTGCCTTTGGTTATGACTGCGCTTCCTCCCGGAAATAAACATAACAGCTCAAGTTTAACTGGGATCAGAGCTTGGCCTTTGATGTCAAGGGCGTAGTGCCAGGAAAATACTGCAGTACTTTTTACTCAGCTATTCAAGGCTCTGCTCTAGTCCTGAGCTTGGAAAAGCTTACTTAGAGAGCTTACTTAGCTTACTCAGAAGTCAGCCATGGGTAGGGGAGAGAGATATTAATGAAAAAAAAACATATATGCAGAAAACTCTGGATAAATAATTGCAGAAAATGCAGACTTTCATTACATGACTTGCATGTGTTGGAAATAAATCTGGATTTCTTACTGCTGGAGTAAAATTATATTAGGAATAATAACAGCACCTAAGACAGGACACAAAATGAACTCAGACCATCCTTTAACAAACCTGGAGAGGAAAGCAAACACAAGTTTGATGTAACTGACTGATTTGAACAAAATGTCTGTGAAATGCAGAGCAACATGCAAAAGCCACAGGATTAAAAACCAAAAGTTCCATACCTGTATCTTTGTTTTGGAGACTGCTTTTCAGCTGACTTAAAAACATGTCCAAGATAATACAAAGGAAAGAATAAAAAGTTCCAGTTTGTTGCAAACCACGTTAGAGTGAAGGGTGCATCGAATTTCTTAAAGGTCAGTTTTGCTAGCTGGGTTGAACCCGACCAAGAGGAGCAGACACCCAGGACCACGGCCACACCCCAGAAGATCTTCTTGAGTTGCGTCACGGAACATTTCCAGCAGCAGCGGCTCACCCTTCCACTGCCTTCCGCCCCAGCTTGCATCTGTGCTTCGGCTGGGGCTGGAGACTCCCGGGAGCGCTCATCCCCTGAGGAGAAGAAAACACATGGCTTACTACGGAAATCCATCCTGTATTTTAGTTTTCAAATCTTAGGCCCGTCTGAAGTCACGTGCAAAGGAACCCACCGGATCTTGCCACAAAATGTTCTTTGTTTTTAGATCATTGCAAAGCCTCTGGTTGAACTGAGGCATAATTAGAATGCAAATAACAATTATCGCCTCTAGATTTAGAAGCCCTTGGGTAAAATGGAAGTGAAAATTACATGTTGCTTTGATGTACATAGAAAGGCTTAACACACCACTTAAACTCGTGCTGTTAGGATGTGTAAATGAACGAAAAATGTGGTATTGAGTTTGATAAAGCACCAAAAGGAATTATAACAACACTTGAAATTGTTATTGTCTCGGAAAATGCAAAAATGGCCAGTTTATGGAATATGGTGTTTCTTAAAAGAGAAGGAGGGAACATATTTCATCTTGAAGTTATGCAAAATCACTGCAACATAAATAGCATGATTAATACTGAATTGGATCACCAGGCACTTCTGTGATCCCTGAAAAAACAGGTCTCTTGTGGCTGTAGCCAGATAGCAAAAACTAGATCAAACCACATGCTGCCCTGAAGTCCATCTCTGACCAGGCAAGCCTAACTTTTTTTAGTTCAAGTCCTGCACAAAGACTGGAGCTTTGCCCCATTATAACTAAACCTAGCATGCTGCTGGATATTTGTCACCTAAAAATCTTGCCCCTTCACCCCTCAAACATGACTTGTTACAGCCCTGCTATCTACAACTGTCAGTCTATAATGTATTCAGCTTGTGAATGAATGAGCAAGGAAAGGTTAGCTGGTTGACTTCTCAGAGAGATCAAAACGTGCTGGCAGACCTCAGCAGCAGGCCACTGCCTTCAGGGCCTTCTACCTGCCTTTCTTAAGTTCACCCCATTCAACTTCTGCTGAAGTTGTCAGTCACCCACACACAACACTCAGCAGTGATTTCTCTAAGAGGCTGACTGCAGTTTAGTTGGTCCATTCACCTAAAGCAGGAAGTAACAGTAGTTCACATTGAAATCCAGAGATCTACAACTTCAAAACTGTCCAGAATTTACTGCATGCATTGAAAGGTGAAAACACGTAAGTAAAGCCAGGACAATGAGACTGTATCATTGCCAAACATTTACAAATATTCAAGGTAGACTAAAAGAGGTCCACATTAAAAAAACAAAAAACAAAAACAAAAACAAACAAAAAAACCCACTTTCTTATCCTGGTGTGAATTCCTATGCGGAATGGAAAATCTCTTATTTCAAGTTAACCTGTATTTGTATAGGTGACCTAATATATTATGAAAGAAAATGTTTCTTTCTATGTTTCTTTCTAAACAACTGTTTAGTTATTTCCCTACAGATAAGAAATGCATGATCTGAGCAAAAATACCATTAGGTTGCCTGGTAAAGCTGTATTTTATAATAAGAAGGACTGTGGCCTCTGTTTGATGGCCTGATATCTAACAGGAATGTGCATCAGCAAATAAACATCTAGCCTTTTTGTGTAGCTTCCAGAGATCTGATCTCTCCACTTATTTCATTTTTCAATAGAAGATTGTGTGGGCAGCCTCCTACATAACAAGAGATGCACCAGCAAGCAAATGAATTGTCCAAAGTTAATGTGACCTTGTATTAAACATATAATGGAAAGGTTACAAGCCACCTGCCAAATGACTGAATTGAAAAACACACTGCCTGGGAACGCTCGGCTCATTCAAAATAATTCTGACATATTTTCTTAGTAATACTTTGCTTGTAACTAATGCTTCTTGCCTCACTTGCTGCACAGACCAGTGTCCGGGTTCAGTTTACACCAAACAGGGGTACACTCATTTCTTTTAACTTCACCATGTAATGGGCAGTTGCCGGCGCCCTCTTTGCTGTCCACCACACAGGTCCTAGAACGATTACTGAATTTTTCCTTTCCACTCAAGATTTTCTTCTGGGCATTGTCACTGCAACACCAAACAATTCACACATCCTAACAAACTTCACCATCCTTCTTCCCTTGGACCACTGGGTTTCTGCACACAGAAAAAACAAATTCAGGAAGCCAGCATGCCAAATGAGAGCTTAAGAGGAGTTTGTGTCTCTATGTCAATACAACTTCACTCAGAGTTTATGTAGTTTTACAGAGAGGTAGGCAAAAATAGTCCTCCTTCTATTCTATTCTTCTACTCTAGACAGCCATTGGGGTAGCTGCCATTTGCATCATTCTGCAGTTACTCCCCAGGGAAATAGGAAATCAGGATTTAAACCACTCCTGCTGAAGATATTTAACATTAGAGAAGGTGCCTAAAGCCACTAGGATATACGAGATTTTAAGATGCGTAGGTGCTCTGGATCACAACACTGAAGCTGTGTTATTTTTTCCTAAAATGAGAATCAGTCACAACTGTCTGATGCACCAGACACTCAACATCTGGCAGCACAGTGCTGACAGACAGCCCAGTACAGACACTGTGGTGAAGATCTTCCCCCCACAAAGGGCTGAAGCCACCTGCCCAGGTCCCCATTGTACTGTGCATGTACACAAGAGTCAGCAGTTCATCTGGACAGCTTGCATGAATATCACTGCCTTCTACTCTGTTCCATGGCCATTGCTCCCTAAAGCTGAAGTTGCTGATGTTTTCTCTGCTACACAGGCAGAATTACTTGTCCAGGTATATCTGATTTTGTGTTAAACCCACCTCTAGAAACATTCGCTTTCAGCAATAGACAATACTGCGTGTATAACTTCTAAAATTAACTTGCACCTGAAAGGTTAACTTTCTAGGGATGTTCATTCTTTTGATGCATTTACAGACTGGAGGGACTAAAAACTTACCCAGGCACAATGGATTTCACAAAGATAGGGGTAAAAATCACTGTCTGATGATTAACAGCTACAAGCTGAGATTTGTAATATCTGTCAGTATCTGTAGTATCTGTCAGTGAAACTTTATTGTGTCCTCATGATTGCTTGTGCTGCTGGAGAGTTAGATGCCAAATGGGCACAGACTCTTCCAGTGGATGCACCACTGACCTGAAGGATACCTGTGACATAATCTGCCCACAAAAACCAGATTTTCTTTGGAGAGGGTGGACCCTACAGATGATAGACACTCATGTGGTCTCATCCTCTCATTTACTTGCCTGCCAGCTGGAAAACACAAAATCCAGATCTGTAGTTTGCTTTGTCTTGTCCCTGTGTCTCTGCTGGGGACATTTTCCTCACCCAAATCACAAGTGCACAGATGGGGTGACACTAAACCCACACATGGCTGAAAAGCTTCTCTCTCTCTCTAACACTGCACAAGAGTCAGCTGGCAACAGAATGCACATGAATTTAAAGATAGCAAAATGTCTTTTTAGAATCGATGAGGCAGGACATTGAAGAATTTTAGTTCTGCAGACTATTAATGGGTTTCTTCCATTGCTTCCTGCAGCAAACTGCTCTGTATGCTACTGTATCCCTCAAAAGAGAAAATTAAGATACTGAGGTAGAGGAAAAATGCCTATCTTGCTTTTACTAATTTTGGTTTTTCATTGTCCCTCTTGCTCATGCATTTTCCTTTTTCATAAATCCCAAATGGAACCATTCTTCCTCCCTCCTTTTTAGTCCAACCTCTGCATTCAGAAACAAAGGAAGGAAATTATCTCCAAAGCTACTGCCAATGCCATTAGCCTCAGAAAACAGCTGTCCTTCTGTTTCTTCTATTATGGCTAAGACCCCCATCAGGTGACTTTGGATACCTGTAGCAAGGGCCATCTATACCCAAACTATTTACTCTACTAAAAGGCCATGAAGCAAAAGAGGTGTGGGAAAGCACTACACCTTAAACCATTAAAGGTAACGCCTTTAATAAATAGGCTGTCCAGGCCTCTCCTAAAGTCTGTACAAGAGTCTTAAGACTCCTGTGCACAGCTAGACAGGTAAAGGGCTTACTGAAGGACCACACTGTATCTAAATGTGTGTATTAAAAATATGATACTGATGAAAACCAAGGGTGGCATTCATCTTCTTAGTTTGAGACATCTGCCATGCAGACTTGTGTATCTGAGACAGTGATTTACACTTTCTGCATAGTTAGTAGACAGAAAAAAGACATTTCCATAGCACGATTTATCTCCTCCTAAAGTGGATGATTAAAACGAGCCAGATGAATCACTCCCTCGGAGTGCTTGTTTCTCTCCACCAGCTCCAAACAGTCTGGGGCGACGAGCTGGAAGTAGGTGTCTCTGGTGTGGGCGTCTGAAGCTGGGTGAGATGAGTCCCACCTCTCCACCACTGCTGTCAGGAGCAGAGGGTAAAGCCACCACAGACAGCGCTGGTGGACTCAGAGCTGTGCAGTGCCACATGAACATATTTAGCTGTCATCAATGACCTGCTTTAGCAGCTGTCAGCTAGTCAGCAAATCAGGGAAGGAAGCATTACACAAGTGCTGGGTGCCCTTTCCAACCCTTCAGAGTGAGAAAGTGACCCTTACAGACGAAGGTCCTGCCTACTAGGGACCAAAACATGTACCTAATGATAATGCACAGCTCTTCCAGGTTCCCCAGGCTAGGAATGTGCTTCAAAGTAAGCATATTCTTAAACAGTTCTTTAAATCAGGCTTCTAGAAAAAAGTTCTGATTAAAAAAAAACAACCCTTACAGGTTTCTCTGACAATTATAAATGAGACATCCTGAAGGTATTTCCATTTTGCCAGCCTGTCAAATGTTTTGTAACTGCTTGAGCATTGCGCAGAACAAGTTTGTAAAGCTTGCAAAAATACACGCTTATCATAAAGAGGGGAGAAAGAGCAGAGGGAAGTCCTGTGAGCCAGTGCCTGATCCTCAGCGTGGTTAGAGCTCTAGAAATCTGTGACATGCAGAGGGATCAGGGCCAGATACTACCAAGGTATATTCTCACAGCCTTGAATGCTGTGCGACTTCTTCACCCAGCATTTACTACATGGAGAGATCAGTGGGAGACAATTAGAGCCAACATACCTGAGAACA